GGGCTGCCAAGTCTCGTTGAATCGCGGCGGGGGATCGTCATTCTTTACAGGAGCTCTGCCGCGGGGGACGGCAACAGGCGTTGCACCGCCGTCGCCAGGATGTGATGCTACGCGTCACTCTGGCGACGGGGCTGTTTGGAGTCCAGTTGCCAGAGCAACGCGTAGCGTCACATCCTGGCGACGGCGGTGCAACGCCTGTTGCCGTCCCCCGTGGCAGAGCTCCTGTAAAGAATGACGATCCCCCGCCGCGATTCAACGAGACTTGGCAGCCCTAAGCCCAGATCATGACAAGCCCAGTAGCACCTTTAAGAATAACAACCTTTATTGTAACATAAGCTTTCAAGAAACACAGCTCTCTTCGTCAGATGAATGAGCTGTGTTTCTCGAAAGCTTACGCCTTCCCCTGATGTTCTCGGATTCAGAGGTTTAGTGCTTCTGAATGTGGAGATTCCCCTCAGCCACCATGGCTAGTAGCCATTGATATACTTCTCCTCCATGAATTATCTAAACGTTGTTTACTGGTCTGGTGTTGCTGTAGGGTTGCCAAGTCTGGGTTGGGAAATACCTGGAGACTTTGGGGGTGGAGCCAGGAGAGGGTGTGGTTTGGGGAGGGGAGGGTCCTCAGCATGGTACAATGCCATAGAGTCCACCCTTCAAAGCTGCCATTTTCTCCAGGGGAGCTGATCTCTGTCGGCTGGGGATCAGTGGTAAAAGCGGGAGATCCCCAGGCCCCACCTGGAGGCTGGCAACCCTATGTTGCTGTGACACTGTTCCCTTCCCCCCCCCTTTAAAACTGCAAAGTCTTTTACATGGCATGAGCCTAAACAATCAGGAATCCTAAACAATCAGGCATCCTAAACAATCAGGAATCACAGTCAAGAATGTGGTGTTGTTTATTTAAATACATTATCCTGCTTCTGTCTTTCATAGAGGGACTCACAGCAGCTTACCAAAATAAAACAAGAAGTGGGAAACCATCTTAAAGCCGCGGTACCACAATAAAAGAGGAGTAGGAATAAAAGGTGGAGTGGGGTTAAGGACTCAGCCAGCAGTGAGTCTTCTCTCCCAACAAACAGCTGTGATGATGTCACAGACCACCCCCATCTAATAAACCCCGGTGATCTGGTGATACCCTTGAGGACAGAATATTGCCCAAACACTTCTCGTAGCCCCCTTGTTGTGAGTGGGTGCATCTGCTTTCATAAAGTCATGTAGTGTTATGCAAAAGTGCCTGGATATTTGTTACAAAACTAGAAACCTCCTTGTCACACGAACGTATGAAGTTGCCTTATGCTGAATCAGGCCTTCTTGGTCCATCAAGGTCAGTATTGTCTACTCAGACTGGCAGCGCCTCTCCAGGCTCTCAGGCAGAGGTCTTTCCCATCACCTTCTTCTAGATCCTTAAGCAGGACGTGCCAGGGATTGAACCTGGGACCTTCTGCATACAAAACAGATGCTCTACCATGGAGCCGTGGCCCTTCCCATGGCCATTTTTGTGCTTTTCGGAATGCCTCACCCCAATGGAGAGAGCTTTTGGAGAGTTCGTGAAAGTTGGCTACGTAGATTGGCATAGCAGACTCCTTTCTTTCATTTGGTGTAGTGGTTAAGTGTGCGGACTCTAATCTGGGAGAACCGGATTTGATTCCCCACTCCTCCACTTGCAGCTGCTGGATGGCCTCCGGCAAGCCATAGTTCTGACAAGAGCTGTCCTTGAAAGGGCAGTTCTTGAAAGAGCTCTCTCTCTGCCCCACCTGCCTCACAGGGTGTCTGTTGTGGGGAGGGGATGGGGAAAGGAGTCTGTAAGCCGCTCTGAGACTCCGAGTGAAGGGCGAGGTATAAATCCAGTCTCCTCCTCCTCCTTCTTCTGTTCTGTCTCTCTCTCTTTCTCTCTCTCTCTCGAAACCCCTCTCTTTCATGTTGCTTTTATTCTAAAGCAGTTCACGAAACGTTGCCCCTCTTCCCCAGTTTTTGCCAGCCGTCTCTGAGTCTCTTATGCTCTTGCAGAACTGGAAGCCGAGGAAGACCCTTCCCCCTGTGCCTTTTCCGGGCACGGCCGGGAATGCACGGTGAACAACAGTGAGTGCCGTGGCAAGTGGGAAGGACCCAACGGGGGCATCACCAACTTCGACAACTTCTTCTTCGCCATGCTGACTGTCTTCCAGTGCATCACCATGGAAGGCTGGACCGATGTGCTCTATTGGGTGAGCCGGCATCCCCTCCCCGTTGGTGGGGCTGAGAGAGTGACGTCACCCATATCTTCCCAGAGCAAACCCCATACTGGCACTCCCCGACATCTTCCTTCTCTCTTCCCCAGATGCAGGACGCAATGGGTCACGAGCTGCCGTGGATTTACTTCGTCAGCCTCGTCATCTTTGGCTCCTTCTTTGTGCTCAACCTGGTTTTGGGTGTGCTGAGCGGGTAAGTCCGATTCCGGCCCTGCATGGGTTATGTCATCAAGTTGCCAACCTCCAGGAGTGGGAAATCCAAAAGAAACATCCGTGACAAAAATAACGAAGAGTCAGTAAAGATACGTTGCAAAATCATTTGGTGTAGTAATTCTGTAGAAAACTCTCTTCTATTATCGCTCACACGCTAACAAATGCTGCGCAATGTCAACAATCCGTTTCACAATATTTGCTTGATCTGAGCGCGTAGCAACCCCAATTCTTATCCATTACTGCTTATCAGCTCTGGAAGGAAACATTCCATGTTGACTCTCTAATAACAGAACCCAAGGTCTTAACGATGTCTGGAGATCCAGAATTACAGCTGATCTCCAGACTATAGGAATCACTTCCCCTGGAGAAAAAGACTGTTTTGGAAGGTGGACTCCATTGCATTGTACCATGCTGAGGTCCTGCCCCAAACTCCGCCCTCCCCAGGCTCCACCCCCAGAATCTCCAGGTATTTCCCAACCCAGAGCGGGCAACCCTAGTGGGAAATCCTCCATTAAGGAAATACAAAAAAGGCCACCCTGAAATCCAGGCCTAGTGAGGCCATAGGACCAGAAAACCCAACAAAATGGGGGAAATTATGATGAACGTCTGCTTTGGAGAGCGAAGTCTATGACATTATCTCCTGCAAGGGTTGCCAACTCTGGCCTGGGAAATTCCTGGAAATTTAGGAGCACTGCCTGTAGAGGGGAGAATTAGGGTGCCCAGGTCATACCCTGGCGCCAGCAGGGGGGTTTGGAGGGCGTTTCTGGAGGGGGCGGGGACGTTGCATGATGTCCTCGATGCAATGATGTCACCTGGAAGTGACATCATTGTGTCAGCGATGTCACGTGGCGGCACTCTGGTTTGAGGGCAAAACTCTATGGTTTGAGGGCAAAATTCTATGGTTCGAGGGCAAATTTACTATCGAGTTTTGCCCTCAAACCAGAGCGTCCTCCTGTGGTGTCACTGACGTGATGATTCCACTTCTGGGTGACATGGTTGTGTTGGGGAGTCACGTGGGGACGTGGCTGTTTGGGGGCAGGGTTTTCCCCACCAGCCAGTTGGCTGAAGGCAGGCAGAAGCTCTGAAAACCATGGGAACCCCTGCCCAGACCTGGCAAGTGGCAATCCTAGGGGGAATCTAGGGAGGGATTTTACCCAGAATCGATGATATACTGTAGAGTTTGCCCTCTTAAGCTGCCCGTTTTCTCCAGGGGAACTGGCCTCCATAGTCCGGAGATCAGTGGCAATTCCAGAAGATCTCCAGGCCCTGCCTGGAGTTTGGCAACCCTGTACCCTGATGAGGTCCTTACCCTGCCCAGGTTCGACACCCGCACCCCAAATCAGCAGGGATTTCCCATTCCGGTGTCAGCAACTCTGGTGTAAATAAATGTCTATTTCGAAGGTTCTGTGTGATTAGGACTGTCAGCTCTGGGTTGGGAAATGCCTGGCGATTGTGGGGGAAGAGCCTGACGAGGGTGGGCTTTGGTGAGGGGAGGGAGCTCAGCGGGGTATAACGCCATAGAGTCCCCCCCCCAAAGCAGCCATTCCCCCCCCCCCGGGGAACTGATCTCTGTTGCTTGGAGAACAGTTGCCATCAATGCTCCCTCTAAGCTGTGGAGTCTTGTGAGCAAAACTTCTATTTTGTGAGCTACTGGCATGAAAGTTCTGAGCGAGCAATTTGGCTGCTGCATGAATTAGTTTGCTCTGGAGCTATCCCTCCCTGAGCGAAGGCAAAAATGTGTGAGCCGGAGGCTAAAAAACCGTGAGCTTGCTCACACTAACTCAGCTTAGAGGGAACACTGACTGGCATGAAAGTTGTGAGCGAGCGATCTGGCTGCTGCATACATTAGTTTGCTCTGGAGCCTTCCTCCCTGAGCGAAGGCAAAAATGTGTGAGCCGGAGGCTAAAAAACTGTGAGCTGGCTCACACTAACTCAGCTTAGAAGGAACACTGAGTCTGGCATTCAAGTTGTGAGCGAGCGATTTGGCTCCTGCATAGATCGGTTTGCTCTGGAGCCCTCCTTCCTGAGCGAAGACAAAAATGTGTGAGCCGGAGGCTAAAAAACCGTGAGCTAGCTCACACTAATTCAGCTTAGAGGGAACACTGGTTGCCATCCCAGGCGATCTCCAGCTACCACCTGGAAGCTGCAACCCTATGCCTGATCCTGACCTGGGGACCAGCAGTGTTCCCTCTAAACTGAGTGAGTGTGAGCTAGCTCGCGGTTTTTTAGCCTCCGGCTCACCCATTTTTGTCTCCGCTTAGGGAGGATGGCTCCAGATCAAACCGATTTATGCAGCGGCCAGATCGCTCGCTCACAACTTTAATGCCAGTGGCTCACCAAGAAGAATTTTTGCTCACAAGACTCCACCGCTTAGAGGGAGCACTGGTGGCCGGTATTTCCTAACCCGGTGAGCCATCCCAACATGTTGACATTCCCTTTCTACTCTGCCTGGGCCTTGAGCTCCCCGGCTGTGCCTGACACAGGCAACCGACCGCATCAGAGGCTGTATTACCAGCAGGTGGGCTTCACATCTGAGGAGATTTTCCAGCCGCCCCGAGCAGCCCTGTGCATGGCTAATCTGACCATTCCGTTCCCCGCAGAGAATTCTCCAAGGAGCGAGAGAAGGCCAAAGCCCGGGGCGACTTCCAAAAGCTACGGGAGAAGCAGCAGATGGAGGAAGACCTGAAGGGCTACCTGGATTGGATCATGCAGGCCGAAGACATCGAGCCCGACGAGGAAGGCGACGAGACGGACGACAAGCACACCCGTAAGGGCTCCTGCGGCCGCCCTTTCGTGCCCCCCCCCCAGCCCCGCTTGGCCACACAACAGTGCTCTGCCGTGCCGGGGGGGGGGGACACGGTAGAGCCGAGGGCCTGGATGCTACCATCTGGGCCTTGTGGCAGCTCCGGGTGAGGGGATTAGAGAGGAATCAGTCCAAGCTGCAGCAGTACGAGATTAGCAGGAACCGCGAGGAAATTGCCAGCTCGCGAAGGGTTCCCGCTTGGGGTGGGAAAGAGAGAGGCGGAAGTGTTGAGGGGGTCACGTCTGGGCTGAGGCGAGCAGAGGAACCCCAGCTGTTGGGAGTGTGTGGGTCGTGCCAAGTGGGGGTCAGGCAACAGAGAGAAGGTGGGCAACAGAGAGAAGAAGAAGAGAAGATATTGGATTTATACCCCGCCCTTCACTCCCCAAAGGAGTCTCAGAGTGGCTTACAAACTCCTTTCCCTTCCCCTCCCCACAACAGACACCCTGTGAGGTAAAATAATAATTAGAAGAGATTGGATTGATACCCCGCCCTTCACTCCCCAAAGGTGTCTCAGAGCGGTTTACAAACTCCTTTCCCTTCCCCTCCCCACAACAGACATCCTGTGAGGTAAAAGAAGAAGAGATTGGATTTATACTCCGCCCTTCACTCCCCAAAGGAGTCTCAGAGTGGCTCACAAACTCCTTTCCCTTCCCCTCCCCACCACAGACACCCTGTGAGGGAGGTGGACCTGAGAGAGCTCTGACAGGAACTACTCTTTTTCAAGAACAGCTCTTATCAGAACTACGGCTTGCCCAAGGCCATCCAGCCAGGTGCAAATGGAGGAGTGGGGGAATCAAACCCGGATTCTCCCAGATTAGAGTCCGCGCACTTCACCACTACACCAAACTGGCTCTCTTGTGGCAGAATGAATGCCAGAGGCCTGGTCCTCGCCGTTTCTGTTCTTTCTCTCCCTCTCCCTCCCCCCCTTCCCACCTTCTGGCGACGGGGAAGAGGCACGGAGGTTGCGTTCTTCCCTCTGGCCACTCCCAGAAGCAGCCAATTAGTGGCGTCTTTTTCACTTGTGTCTGCCTGCCCTTCCCCACGGCTATCGTCTGTGGCAGGAGAAGATGGCACAGAGTTCCGAGGGGACCCCCTCTGGCACTGAGATAATTAGATCTGGGTCTTGTCAGACACTTGGGGGTCACCGAGCCAGTGGCAATGCTAGCGAAGGCAGACACATGTTTATAAGGGCAGCGGGCCTTCCCTGCTGAAGCCACGGGTCTGTTTTCGAGAGCCAGTCTGGTGCAGCGGCTAAGAGTGGCGGAGTCTAATCTGGAGGAGGAGGAGAAGAAGAGTTGGTTTTCATACCCTGCTTTTCTCTACCCGAAGGAATCTCAAAGCGGCTTACAATTGCCTTCCCTTCCTCCCCCCACAACAGGCACCTTGTGAGCAATGTTCCCTCTAAGCTGAGTTATTTTGAGCTAGCTCAGAGTTTTTTTAGCCTCCAGCTCACACATTTTTGTCTTAGCTCAGGAAGGAGGGCTCCTAAGCAAACTGATTTATGCAGTAGCCAAATCATTTGCTCACAACTTTAATGCCAGTAGCTCACAAAGTTGAATTTTTGCTCACAAGACTCCACAGCTTAGAGGGAACATTGCTTGTGAGCAATGCTCCTTCTAAGCTATGGAGTCTTGTGAGCTACTAGTATTGATCAGGTGATTTGGCTGCTGCATAAATTAGTCTGCTCGGGAGCCCTCCTTCCTGAGCTAAGACAAAAACGTGTGAGCCGGAGGCTAAAAAACTGTGAGCTAGCTCACACTAACTTAGCTTAGAGGGAACACTGCTTGTGAGGCAGGTGGGGCTGAGAGAGCTCTCAGAGAACCATGACTGGCCCAAGGTCACCCAGCAGGCCTCACGTGTCTCAGAGTGGCTTACAATCACCTTCCTTTCCTCTCCCCACAACAGGCACCTTGTGAGGCAGGTGGGGCTGAGAGAGTCCTGAGAGAACCGTGACTGGCCCAAGGTCACCTAGCGGGCCTCATGTGTCTCAAAGTGGCTTACAATCGCCTTCCCTTCCTCTCCCCACAACAGGCACCTGGTGAGTCAGGTGGGGCTGAGAGAGCTCTGAGAGAACCGTGACTGGCCCAAGGTCACCCAGCGGGGGGGGGGGGAATCAAACCACTCTAAACCACTACACCATGCCCTCAGCAGGTTTGATGCCCCACTCCTCCACATGCAGCCAGCTGGGTGGCCCTGGGTCAGTCACAGTTCTCTCAGAGCTCTCAGCCTCACCTTGCCTCACGAGGTGCCTGTTGTGGGGAGTGGAAGGGAAAGGCAATTGTAAGCCACTTTGAGACTCCTTCAGGTAGAGAAAAGCAGGGTATAAAAACCTCTTCTTCTTCCCTCCCTGCACCACTTATTTGTTTGTTTCATTTATCGCTGAGTGGAACGTGCCCGGGCCGGGCGCACCCACGGTGCATTGCCCGTCCGCCAGCCAGCCAGAGGGGCTCTCTCTCCACTGCGCCTTGCCCGCCCGGCATGTGGCTGCAGCGGCTGCCTCCGTCCACAGAAAAGCGAAGATGTCCTTTTCTATTCCCTCGCTCAGCTCCTCTGATTTGCTCGTTTTAGGCTGAGGGTATGTGACTGGCTCAATGTCACCTGGCAGGCTTCTGTGGCGATGTGGGGATTCGAACCTGGGTCTCCCAGGCTCCTCTGATTTGCTCTTTCTTTGCCCGGCGCCATTGGCTCCTGGGCTCAACCCTTCCACCACCTGAACTGGGAGGGAGAGACGGACGGAGGCACACGCAAGGCTGGCGTGCTGCTGTCAAGTTCCAGAGCAAATCCCAAAAAATGTTGTCGAAGGCTTTCACGGCCGGAGTTTTTCCGGGCTTTGTGGCTGTGGTCTTGGCATTGCGGTACCTGACGTTTCGCCAGCAGCTGTGACTGGCCTCCTCAGAGGTATAACGCAGAAAGATGGAGGACTCTCTGTGTCAAGGTGAGAAGAAAAATGGTTGGCAGGTCATTTAGGAAGGTGGGGTAGGACTGAATCGTTCTCTTGTAGGAGTTTTCCAGGCTGTGACATGCTAATGGAGGAGCTTTCCTGAGGAGGTTCTTTTGCATATTGATGGGCTGTTGAAATTCTAATCTTATTGCTGTTGTAAGATGTAGAGCATTTTGTGTTTTTCAGGACAGGAAACCATGCCCTATTTATTTGTAAACTCTCTTCCTTCCTGTTGAAATTGTGTTTATGTTTATGAATTTCAATGGCTTCCCTGGGTAATCTGACATGGTAATTGGGTGTGTTGTCCAGCCTTTTATACCTCTGAGGAGACCAGTCACAGCTGCTGGCGAAACGTCAGGTCCTACAATGCCAAGACCAAAGCCACACAGCCCAGAAAATCTACAACTAATAAATCCCAGGAATTTCAGTTCTTAAGAAGAGAAGAGAAGAAGAGAAGAGACTGGATTTATACCCCGCCCTTCACTTGGAGTCTCAGAGCGGCTTACAAACTCCTTTCCCTTCCCCTCCCCACAACAGACACCCTGTGAGGTGGGTGGGGCTGAGAGAACTCTGACACAAACTGCTCTTTTTCAAGGACAGCTGTGCCAGAGCTTGTGACTGACCCAAGGTCACATCAGCAGGTGCAAGTGGAGGAGTGCGGAATCAAACCCAGTTCTCCCAGATTAGAGTCCGCACACTTAACCACTACACCAAACCCAGGGTCTCCAACACGGTGCCTGTAGGCACCATGGCACCTGCTCGCCGACACCTTTCCTGGTGCCCGTCAAGTGTTTTTAGAAAGTGGGCAGGATCAGGTAGGCTTTTGCCTAGCAAGGCTTCTGATCGCCTGTGCGGGTTTTTAAAAACATCCCTTTGAAGGCGGCTGCCACCACAGCACGAGGATCTTCACCGTGTGATTGAAGGTAAGCCGTGGCGGCCATTTTGCGGCAGGCTCCGCCTGCTGCAGCAGCCATTTTGTGGCTCCACCCACCCTGCTGTATCATAAAGGTCCCCACAGTCTCAAAACAGTTGGGATCCCGTCTCCATCTCAGAAACAAAGACAGATTTGGGGGACCCAACACGGAGGCGAACAGACCAACCGTGACATTTTTCCGCAGCGTCCAGTTTCCCCCGCGCCTGCACGCGTATCCCTCCGCTGCTTTCCCTCGTTTCCGCAGATGTTTCCGCAGTCCCAGGCGCAAAAACGCAGCTTGTTCCCTGTTGCTCCGCAGCATCGGACTTCCCTGTTTCCGGGAATCCCCGTGCTGCGCCGCGAGAGGGGGCAAACTGCGTTTTTGCTCCTGGGAGGGAGAAATCCTCTGCGGGAACGAGAGGAAGCCACGGATGAATAGAACAGCAGGCCGGGGGTGGGGTGGGGAAACGTGACCCTTCGGAAAACAGCAGGGACTTCGATTCCTCAGGATTTAACCCTTCCCCTTCTCTCTGGCATCTTTGGTCATGTGACTCATACCAGTTTTATTTTTCCCCCCCCTCTCCATCCATTTTCACTGGCCCCTGTTCTTCCCCTTCTCCCCGCCTCCCCTCCGTCTATCCTTTCATCCTCGGTACCTCCCCTGCGGAAGGCATGTCTGTGGCAGACCTGACGGGGAAGAAGAGAGGCAAGAAATGGTTCAAACACAACCACCACTCCACCGACACTCACAGTAATGTCCTCATTTTCCTCTTTTCTCGTCTCCACGTTTCAGTCCCTTCGCGGTCTAAGCAGCGGGAGAGATTCCATGTTTCCATTCCATACCTCACCTGTGCCCCACCCAGAGTCCACTGAACTCAGAAATTTAGCCTATTGTTCCTTATTCGTTATGAATGGCCATTATAACCTGAACACAGGAAGCTGCCTTACACTGAATCAGACCCTTGGTCCATTAGGGTCAGTATTGTCTACTCAGACAGGCAGCTCAGGCAGAGCTCGTTCCCATCACCTGCTGCCTGGTCCTTTTAACTGGAGATGCTGGGGATTGAACCCAAAACTTCTGCATGCCAAGCAGAGGCTCTGCTACTGAGCCAGGGTCTCAGGTCAAGATCTTTCTTATCACCTCCTGCCTGGTCCTTTCAACTGGGGGTGCCGGGGACTGAACCTGGGACCTTCTGCATGCCAAGCAGAGGCTCTGCCACTCAGCCAGGGTCTCAGGTCAAGGTCTTTCTCATCACCTCCTGCCTGGTCCTTTTTAGATAGAGATGCCGGGGATTGAACCTGGGACCTTCTGCATACCAAGCAGGGGCCCTTCCACTGAGCCACAGCCCCCTGGACTGGAGATTTGGTTGGCAGTGCAGATTTTTTAGAAACCTTGCTTTGGCAGCGACTGTCATCACAGCGCAAGGATCTTCACGGTGTGGCTGAAAGTCAGCTGCCCCAGCCATTTTGTGGCTGCCTCCATCTTTTGTGGCAGCCATTTTGTGGCCACGAGCGGCAGGGATCTCACTCCTTGCAAGAGTAGTCAATTCCTGGTCTTGTCCCCGACTGCTTTGCATGCATACCATCTAGGTTCAATTGTCAGCCATTTCAGTTAGAGGATCTCTCATAAAAGGGCCGGGGGAAAGCCTCTGCTTGGAGAGCTGCTGTCCGTCAGAGTACTGACTGGGTGATGTGGACCAATGGCCTGACCCCAGTATAAGGCCGCTTTATGCCTTTCCACTCTGGCACCTGATCACCTGTCCATTCTTTGAAGTCCCCCCCCCCCGGAAGGCACACATGATGCTGCCGCACCTGCTCTACCTCCCGAACGTGCAGGTGTGTCTGACAGTCCGGGTGCAAAGGTGCAAGGGAGCTGAGCCGGGTGCACCCAGGGGATGATACGATGTTTGTCTTCAGTCTGAAGACAAGTGGGACTTTCCCCCAGAGTGTTTGAAAAGGGATCTTTGAGCATGGCGCGTACTAGTACAGATCCTCCCCCCCACCACCGCTTTTGCAAGTCTTTGTCGTTCTTTGAAAACCCACAAAGTCCTTTTGACCATACGCAACAGTAAGGATCATAAGGATCATGCAGAATAAACGGGAGGGAGAAGGGTTAATGCATCAGAAAGTGATTCAAGAAATAATGAAGGGTATAAATCAAATTAAAACAGATAGAGATAAAGAATTGGTGAGGAAATTTATATGGAAGTGGTATAGAACTCCGGCTCAGATATGATTAAAGGAATGAATCCAAAGTGTTGGCACTGTGGCCAAGAAGTAGGCCTGTATGCCCGTATGTGGTGGGAATGCAAAGTGGTTAAGGAATTTTGGCAAAAGATTGTAAGGGTTATCTTTGATTTATTTTAAGTTAATATAGAGATTAATAGGGACCTGCCTATTTCGGGAATATTGGGAAATAAAAAAGTGGAAAGAAATAAACGGGAGTTATATAAAATTATGGTTTTAGCCGGGATGGCTGTAATAGCATTGGGATTGGAAAAATGGAATAATTATGTCTTTGAACGTGTACAATCAGATATATTCGCACAGATAATTACTGAAGAGACATGGGAAGAGAAATGTCAAAGGATCACAAATAAATGGGTGGGATCTAAGGAATGGGGGGAAAGGGGGGAAGCCAATCCAAATATCCAAATACGAATGAAGAATTTGTGCACATGGTTAAAAATATGAAGATACTATAAGGAGGGAGGGGGGAGGAGGGAGGGGGGTAGAATGATTGTACAAATGATATAATGTAAGATTATGTATATAAGCTTTAATAATAATTTAATTTTTTTTTTTAAAAAAAAAACCATATGCAACAGTAGGACAGACACAACGAGTGTTTCTGCATTCTCATTTCCCTCGCATGGGTGTTCCTGCTGCTTCCAGGGGCTTTCTTTGGTCTGCGTGTGTTTGGCTCCCTCTAGTGGTTGATTCGATATTATAGCGCTTTGTATCCGGCATAAAAACCTGCAGTTTAAATCTGCGGTCACATAAAGCGATGTCATATCTCATCAACCACTAGAGGGAGCAAAAGACCCACAGAGCAGAACCCCTCCCGCCAGAGCAATAAGAACTCACAAGCAAGGAAAATGAGGATGCAGAAAAGCATTTCGGTTCCCTTAAATATATATGCTTGCCTCCCACCTTAGCAGTTTTTTTCCTCCCATGGGAGAGATCACAATTTTGTGTCTCACGAAGGAAAAGTGTCACTTGTAACAGGTTTGATTATCGAGTTTAAACCAGGGGTTCCCAACGTGGTGCCCACTGATACCCCATCTGGTGCCCGCCAAGTGTTTTCAGATAGCGGGTGTTCCCCTTGGCGAGCCCAGCTTCTCATTGGTGCCCTAAACTCCTGATTGGCCATGCAGATTAAAATAACAGTGCTTTGGTGGCCCCCTGCTGCAGCAGTGCCAGTTCTATTTTGTCTCTCACTCCTCTTTCCCAGTGTATAGAGTTCGTTACCCCTCCTCTTCACTGCACTTGGACTTTCCCTGGGTGTTTGTGCATGGCTCCGCCTCCCGCAGCAGCCATTTTGTCATTGCGCCCATGATCCTGTGTCAGAATTCCAAAGGTGCCCGGTGCCTACAGGTTGAAAAAAAGTTGGGGCCAGGGCCAGCTCACTCACTAGGCAAACTAGGCGATCGCCTAGAGCGGGACAGCCCTTAGGGGCACCAAACTGCACCCGGCCCCGTACTCTGGGAGTTTATTGATTATTTGTGTTTTTCATTCTTCCTAAAATGCATTTATTTTTGAAAATTGGTGGGCGCACGGGGGGGGGGGCAGAAGGGATCCTCGCCTAGGGTGCAAAATAAGCTGGAGCCGGCCCTGGTTGGGGCCTCCTGGTTTAAACCTGTAAAGCAATCGGAGTCCATCTGAATGGGGCCCAGTGCCTCTGAGCGGGAATCAGTTGTGTTGGTTGAATACTGTCTGCCAGGTGAAAGAAAAACACAACAACTTGCCTTTCTCTCCCCAGCCAGTCTTGCTGCCAGCGAAACCACGTCAGTGAATACGGAGAACGTTGGGGACGAAGACCATCATCCGAACCGCTGCTGCGACGTTTGCTTGTGAGTTTGCCAGACCAAAGCGACGAGGGTGGGAAGAGAAAATGGGCCAATGCAAACAGTTTGGTGTCGTGGTTAAGTGTGCGGACTGTAATCTGGGAGAACCGGGTTTGATTCCTCACTCCTCCGCTTGCACCTGCTGGGTGACCTTGGGCAAGCCATAGTTCTGTCAGAGCTGTTCTCTCAAGGGCAGTTCTGGAAAGAGCTCTCTCAGCCCCGCCTACCTCACAGGGTGTCTGTTGTGGGGAGGGGAAGGGAAAGGAGTTTGTGAGCCGCTCTGAGACTCTGAGTGAAGGGCGGGGTATAAATCCAGTCTCCTCCTCCTCTACCTCCATTTCCCACGTGCTGGGGTTCATCAGCCTGGCTCCTGGAAGGAGGCAATGAGAAATATATGCCTTCAGCTTCTCTCAGGGTTGCCAGAGTCTTAAAAGAAAATACCAGACACACCAACACTTGGACCGATTCCCCACAAGCCACTGTGCCGCCCTCTCTTCCGTTTGCCCCAGCTGCATTGGTCAATTTCACACTATTTGCTGCACGGCCGCATTTTGACCTGCATCTCCCCCCAATTCCCCCCTCGCGTCTTCTCGATCCTTGTTTTTTGAGATCAAGAAAATGCGGGGGGAAATCGGGGCGAGAGGCAGGCCAGAATGCGCCCGTGCAGCGAATAGTGTGAAATTGACCGATACAACCGGGGCAAACGGAAGAGTGAGGGCGGCACAGCTGCTTGTGGGGAATTGGTCTTGGTGTCCTGGAATACAGGCAGAGCAAGGGAACAGAGCTGGGCCACAGAGCAAGGCAACAGAACAAAACCGCAGTCAAGAGCCCAGTCCAGAGATCAAATAGCGGTTGAGCAGCAGTCAGAGTCCGTGGGTTGTTCAGGAAAGCAGAATCAAGGCAGTCCGAGGTAGTTGATCAGCAAGGTTCGGGCAGGTCCGAAAAGCAGAGTCGAGGATCAGTCCAAAGGTTGCAGGAGGCAGGCAGAGTCCGGGGTTGTGGTCACAAATTTCACAGGGTGGTGACCAGTTGCTCCCACAGTCTGCAGTTCTCCAGGTCTGATTTATACAGGCATTCCTTAACAAGCCTGATTTACAGTAATCTGTTCGGAGGTGCTCCTGAACTTACTCAGAAAGGCTATCACGAAGCAGCTGGCACCGAGCCAAGAGGCGAGCACTCCGTCTGCGTGTCATTAAGTCTTGCTGGAGCTTTTCCCCTTTGCTGTTAAATTAACCGGGGGGTGGGGGTGGGGAGACTGGTGGGCTGCTTTCCTGCAGTTGTGCTTCGTAGGCTACTTCAGAGCTAGGTATGGGTGGATCAAGGTGGGTGCTCCCCCTCCTCCTAGCTTTAGCTGATTCAGAGCTGGCTGCATGTGGCTCCTCAACTCCTGAGGAGTCTTCAGCCACACTGGACTCAGGCTGGTCCACGACCCCTGGCGCTACATCCTCCCAGCGCAAACAGCACAAAGCAGGCTGTTTACGTCGGGCGGAGCACCCAATCCAAGCTCAAAGCACCAGCGGCTGCTGCCCGCTTCACCTTTGGAATTGGCACTGCGTCCTCCAAGCCCAAACGGCGTGCCTTGTGCTGTTTGGGCTTGGTAAGGTTGCCAGTTGACCCGGACAGTTCAGTATTGTCACTGACTGTTTGGGGAAAACTGAAAAAATACCGGACATTTAAAAGCCTGGTATTTTTTCATTTTTTCTCTGAACAGTCAGTGAAAACACTGGACTGTCCGTATTAACACTGGGCACCTGGCAACCTTAGCTCCTCTCCCTTTGCGACCAAAGCAGACCTTTTTCACGCAGAAGGTCCCAAGTTCAGTCCCTGGCCCCCGGAATTCAGTGAATCTTGAACTGCAGAGCCAGGAAATACTATTCCGTGAGAGGTCGGGAGAGGCTCCCAACCAAAGCAGACAATACTGAGCTAGGTAGACCAGTGGTCCGGTTATGGTATAAAATCAGCTTCATGTGTTCCAGATAGGGTTGCCAGTTTCCAGGTGGTAGAACGTCGTAGGAAAACAACCGTGATACGATAACGAAGTCGTGTTGAGGGGGAAAATATATCTTCTTTTAATGATCCAGTGAGTAACAAACCATTAAAGTTGTTTCCTTTGAAATAAATGGGTCGATTTAATGGTTTGTTACTCACTGGATGCTGCGGTGGCTCAAGTGGTTAAGACGCTGAACTGCAGGCTGTGGAAGGTCGGTAGTTCAGCAGTTCGAGACCCGGGTGCCGCAAGACGGAGTGAGCTCCCGTCTCTAGTTCCAGCTCCTGCCAACCTAGCAGTTCGAAAGCGAGAAATTGCAAGTAGATAAATAGGGACCACTTCAGTGGGAAGGTAACAGCGTTCCGTGCGCCTTGGTGTTTAGTCATGCCGGCCACATGACCACAGAAACGTCTTCAGACAGCGCTGGCTCTTTGGCTTGGAAACGGAGATGAGCACCGCAACCCTAGAGTCGAACGCGACTGGCTTTCGAGCAAGGGAACCTTTACCTTTTTACTCACTGGATAATTGAAGAAGATATATTTCCCACTAAACACGACTGCGTTGTCATATCGACGGTTTGTTTTCCTACGAAGTTCAGCTTAACCTGCGATCTCTTGTCCTTGACTTCAGTTTCCAGGTGATGGCTGGAGCTCTCCCAGAATTACAACGGCTCTCCAGGTTGCGGAGATCAGTTCCTCTGGAGAAAATGGCTGCCTTTGGAGTCGGACTCTGTGGCATTATACCCCATTGGAGTCCCTCCCCTCCCCAGACCCCACCCTCCCCAAGCTCCGCCCCCAGAATCTCCAGGAATTCCCCAATCCAGAGCTGGCAAGCCCTCGTTCCAGAGGGGATTTTTTTCCTGCCACTGAAGGTGTGATAAAGCATCAGTAGGTGGCTCTGCTTTCTCAGTGATGAAGATTTCACAGTCTTATTACCTAAGGGAAACGGCGATTCTTCTTATCAGCCAGCACCACGCGTGTCGCATTCGCTCTAGCTGCAACACTCGCAGTACACTTGGCTCTACGATGTAATAGTGTAAAGCAATTTGAACCCAATAGACTCCACTCTGTCATGTCTTTCTTTCCTGCCCGTGCTCTTTTCTGGCAGGCAAGAGCAGCTTCTAATAGGGCAGAGTCAGAGTGTTGCCTCGAAGGACCGCAGGGACCTTCTGGCTTGGCCAGGAGGAAGCAGTTGCCGAGATTGGTCTAAGATACATTTATGCCTGAGCAGGGCTCTTTTTGTAGAAAAAGCCCAGCAGGAACTCATTAGCATAATAGGCCACCCCCAACAGCAGGAGCTTATTAGCATATTGGGCCACACCCCTGACAACACAGCTCATTAGCACATTAGGCCGCACCCCCACGTTACCAGAAGTGTGGTCATCCAGCCACACCCACCTTTTGCTTCTTATTCTGTTTACCTTGTTTGTTGTCAAAACCCAGGGCTTTTTTGTAGCAGGAACTCCTTTGCATGTTAGGCCACACACCCCTAATGTAGCCAATCCTAATGAGTTCCTGCTCTTGGGTGTGGCCTATTATGCTAATGAGTTCCTGCTGGGCGTGGCCAACTTGGGAGCCAGCCGGAACTCCGTTCCTGTGCGTTCCTACCCAAAAATAGCCCTGTGCCTGAGGCAGGAAATCCAAACGGTCCTCACTCCTTAGTACGATCAATCTGCAAGCGCTCCTTAGCCGCTTCCATTCACCGTACTGGAACTCACATGGGAAAATGTTTTTCCAAGAGAGCCAGTTTGGTGCAGCGGTTAGGAGTGCGGACTCTAATCTGGGAGAACCGGGTTTGATTCCCCACTCCTCCACATGCAGCTGCTGGTGTGCCCTTGGGTCAGTCCCAAGTTCTCTCAGAGCTGTTCTCTCAAGGGCAGGCCTCGAAAGAGCTCTCTCAGCCCCACCTACCTCACAGGGTGTCTGTTGTGGGGAAGGGAAGGGAAAGGAGATTGTAAGCTGCTCTGAGACTCCAAGTGAAGGGTGGAGTATAAATCCAGTTTCCTCCTCCTCCTCCTCTTCTTCTTCTCCTCCACTTTTTCTTTTCACCCTTCTTCTGTCCTTTACAGCCTAATATGTAGCTGGAGAAGCTTTCTCTGGCAGGGAAATGCACTGACGGGAACTTTTTAACCTGCTGAATTTCTTCCTAAAAGTACAGGAGGAAGGCAAAAGCTGGGGAGGGGCTGGGCTCAATGGCAGAGCCTCTGCTTGTCATGCAGAAGGTCCGAGGTTCAATCCCCAGCATCTCCAGTTAAAAGGACCAGGCAGTAGGTGATGGGAAAGGCCTTGACCTGAGACCCCGGAGAGTCACTGCTGGTCTGAGTGTTGGACTTTGATGGGCCAATGGTCTGATTCAGTATAAAAGAGCTTCATGTATAAAGATAAGAACCTTCTTCTAAGTTTGGCAGCATATCTGTTAAGTGTGATATGCTGTCAGTGTCGATGGCATTCCTCTGTGAACAGCAGTCCTTGTACCACAGATGAGCATGCAGCTTTGCAAGTGGGGGAAAGATCTCTGCAACGGATGGCTTTTTTTGGTGAACTCTCTTTTTATGTCTGCTCTTTCACAGAGGCAAGTTCTGGAAAACGAAATCCGGGTGAGTAGCGTGCCCCTCTTCCCGTCTCCTGCAAACCTGGCCTGGGTAAACTGTGCTCTCCAGCGTCTTAACAGTGGCTTCTGTCCTCTTTTTCCCCCCGCTGCAGCCGCCGATTGGGACGCCTGAACCGCCTTTTCCGGAAGAAATGCCGCCTGGCTGTCAAATCCGTCTCGTTCTATTGGATGGTTCTGCTGTTGGTCTTCCTCAACACCCTCACCATCGCCTCTGAGCATTACAACCAGCCTGACTGGCTCACGGAGATCCAAGGTGGGGGAGGCAGCTCAGCTCCGGCTAGGGACCGGTGTTCCCTCTAAGCTGAGTTAGTGTGAGCTAGCTCAAAGTTTTTTAGCCTCCAGCTCACACATTTTTGTCTTAGCTCAGGAAGGGGATGGCTCCAGAGCAAACTAATTTATGCAGTCGCCAAACCGCCCGCTCACAACTTTAATGCCAGTAGCTCACAAAGTAGAATTTTTGCTCACAAGACTCCACAGCTTAGAGGGAGCATTGCTAGGGACCATCATTTATTATTATTATTATTATTAGTAGTAGTAGTAGTATTGTTGTTGTTGCTGTTTACTTTATTTATTGTTGTTGTTGTTGCTGTTGCTGTTGCTGTTGCTGTTGCTGTTTATTATTATTATTATTATTACCCTCCCCAAGGGGTCTCTGAGCGGCTTACATATTTCATTATCCCTATCTATGGGCACACACATAGTCAGGGGCGGGGACTGCCTACCGGCACCCAGTGGTGGGATTTGCTTGTTGTTCCTTCAGCTCGGCTCGGCTTTTTTGGCTTCGGCTCGGCTTATTTATTTATTTATTTATTTAGGTATTTTTACCCCGCCCTCCCCGCAAGCGGGCTCAGGGCGGCTTACAGGGGCATAAGCCCATACATAAAATCCAATAAAATCCAGTAAAATCATAGAATCAAAAAACGATACATACTATTAATAATAAAGTGCTTTAACTTTCCAAGATGGTCTAAAGTTGTTCGTCCAGTAAATAGTCCGAGCGAGTCAGCTGGTCTTGCTGCCGCGTAGATCACCGTACTGCCGGGTATCAAGGCACTCCCAATCTTGATGGTATTCCACCGTTGGTAGTGGTGGTGAGGGCGGCGGCCCCTACATAAAGGCCTGGTGGAAGAGCTCCATCTTGCAAGCCCTGCGGAATTGCATGAGATCCCGCAGGGCCCTGATCTCCTCCGGGAGCTCATTCCACCAGGTAGGGGCCGCCACTGAGAAGGATCTAGTCTTTGTCGCAGCATAGTGTACCTCCTGGGGTCCCGGAACCACCAGACGGTCCCGGGTCCCTGACCGAAGTGCTCTTGGGGGTATATACGGGGAAAGGCGGTCCCTCAGGTAGGTCGGACCCAGGCCATATAGGGCTTCTCTCGTCTACTTCTTCAGGTGGTTTACTTTAAATGTTTACTTTATTTATATCCCGCCAATGGGGACCTAAAGCGGCTTGCATAATTCTCCTATCCTCCATTTTATCCTCACAACAACAACCCTGTGAGGTAGGTTAGGCCAAGAGTGTGTAACTAGCCCAAGATCACCCAGCGAGCTTCCGTGGCCCAAGTGGGGATTCGAACCTGTATTTCCCAGATCGGCTATTCAGTGTGAAACCATGTATGCATAAAGCGGGGGTGTCGAACATAAGGCCCGGAGGCCGGAACCGGCGCATCCGGGGCTCTTATGCGGCCCACGAGCAACTAGCGCAAGGGAGGGACCAGGAGACTGTTCAGGGGGGAGTGGGCGGAGCTACTCTGATCGTGGCTTCAGAATGGCGGAACAAACTCGTCTGCAGCAGTCAAGCAGCGTGGGAGTGTCTGCCCAGTGCTGCACCGCTGGCTATCCAGTCTGCCCAAATGGGGTTTCCTTTGGACCTCCCTCCCAGCCCAGGGGGCCTTGCAGTGAGGATGCAACAACTCACAGTTTACCAGCTTCTGTCCTTTATACAGTTTATATCTCCGGTAGTGTTCCCTCTAAGCTGAGTTAGCGTGAGCTGGCTCACAGTTTTTTAGCCTCCGGCCCACACATTTTTATCTTAGCTCAGGAAGGAGGTTCTCCAGAGCAAACTGATTTATGCAGTCGCCAAATGGCTCACTCACAACTTTAATACCAGTCGCTCACAAAGTAGAATTCTTGCTCACAAGACTCCACAGCTTAGAGGGAACCAGGGGTCATTTCCTGCAGGAGCGCACAGGAGCGGAGCTCCGGCAGTAAGGAGCCCAGGGGGCGGGCACATGCAACAAGTCCCACCCCCTGCTCCCAGCAGCCCTCAGTCAGAGCAAGAAGCAGCCAGGTAAGTTGCAGAGCTCCCCCCCCCGCCCAAGGCCTCCCTCCTCTGCGAATACAGATCTGCACGTTCCCCCCCCCCCGTAGCTAGCCATCCAAAAAAGTCCAGTGGAGCCTGAGCGATGGGTGTAGCCTTCTGACACACTTCTGGTGATGTCAGAGGGCGTGGCATATGCAAATGCTAATGAGCTCCTGCACCTCTTTCTCTACGAAATGACCCCTGGAGGGAACATTGCCTGGCATTACATTTTATGGCACACATGGCCTGGCCCGACAAAGTGACATTCCTGTCTGATCCGGCCCTCATAACAAATCAAGACGAAGAAGAAATGATTGGATTTATACCCCGCCCTTCACTCAGAGTCTCAGAGCGGCTTACAAACATCTTTCCCTTTCCCTCCCCAGAACAGACACCCTGTGAGGTAGGTGGGGCTGAGAGAGCTCTTTCCAGAACTGCCTTTTCAAGGACAGCTCTTGTCAGAACTACGGCTTGCCCAAGGTCATCCAGCGGCTGCGAGTGGAGGAGTGGGGAATCAAACCCGGTTCTCTCAGATTAGAGTCCGTGGACTTAACCACTACACCAAACTGAATTTGACACCCCTGGCATAAAAGATTTCAGATCCAATCACAGGCATCTTCAAATGTTTCTTAAAAGCCAAATGTTTCTTAAAAGCCAAATGTTTTTCCCCCCCTTGAGCATTTGGGAGTGCCAATCACAATTTCTTGCCTGAAATAAACAGAGGTGAATGAGCATTCCAGGCCATATAGCCAGGGCTGGTTCCCGGTTTTGGGGGAGGGGGCAGGTAGATAATTTCTAGGTCCCCCCCCGCCCCCTCCTGATCTATAAGAATCTTTTACTTTTTTTTCTTTTAAAAACACTTTACCGCGTATCGACAATAATAGTCACAGACAGCTTACATATAATAATCATTTCAAGTACCGCCATTCACAAAATGCCGTGCAGCTGGTATTGGGTTCTTATAATAAGATTATCTCCGTGAATTACTTTGAATCACTTCAAGTAATTAGTTACCCGTTGGGAACACTCAACACTTGTTCATCCTTATTCTCCAAGTTACCTGCCCCCCTAAGCGCTTCAAATGTAGTTTTATCCTGAATGCAACATCAGTCTGACATATAATATCCCAGCTATCCTATCCACAGAGGTCATTTCGGGGGGGATCGCGGGGGAATGCAGTCCCCCCGGGTGAGGTGCAGGGGGCGGGGCACACGATGAAGCCCCGCCCCCTGCTTCTAGCCACCCCGCTTCCGGCCCTCATTCAGCCAGGAGGAGGCAGGAGAAGAGGGAGGGTAAGTTGCTTCCTCCCCGCCTCTCCCCACCCCTGCCTGCCTGGGGCCAGGGAGGGCCTTGGCGGGGCTTCCTCGCACTCCCGCCGGCCTTGCAGGTCCACCGCCAGGCCCCTGATGTCAGGGGGTGTGGCATATGCTAATGAGTTATGCTAATGAGTTCCCCTAGCTCTTTTTCTACAAAACGACCCCTGCCTTTCCATATGTTTTTTTTAAATTGGTTCTAGCCCCATATTGTTTCAATTTATTCCCTGATTTCTACGTGCATTTTGGGAGCTTTGGTTTTTTGGTCCGCCCCCCTTTTGAGATCATTTTTACCCCGATATTTTTTTTCCTGGAAGCCGATTTTGAGTAGGCTTTTTCCTCGTGTGTAACATGTTTCTATTGGTTCTCTTTGTTCCCACCCACCTCCACCTCGCTTTTCAATGACTGGACTGTTATCATTGTTAAACCACTCCCTTTCCCCCCTCCCTGAAGACAAGTTATTTCAATTAAAACCAAAATGGCCCTAAAATATTGATATGTCACTGTAGTAACAATAGTTTAAGCAGGTTCCTTGAATTCCCATCTTTCATTAAATAAAAGTAAGTCTCTATCCCTTGTAAGTCTCTATCCCTCCCTCTTGCGGAGATATATTAATATTTTAGGGCCATTTAAAAACATAAGATAGGCGTTCTGATGGCACTGATAATGACAGTGATGACCACAGCATCCTCTCTTGAAAACCCTCATTATTTAAGCCAGGTGCAGAAGGAAGTAAACTGACTTGACAACTGTCAATATGCACAGGGAAGAAAAACGTGCAGATTAAGGACCCTGCCCAGACTGATTCCAAATACTGTGTGGATCGACTCCCAAGAAAAATCAGGTGTAATTCGAGCATGGGGTGACCAGTTTTCCCTCTAAGCTGAGTTAGCGTGAGCTAGCTCACAGTTTTTTAGCCTCCGGCTCACACATTTTTGTCCTGGCTCAGGAAGGAGGGCTCCGGAGCAAACTGATTGATGCAGCAGCCAAATGGCTCGCTCCCAACTTTATTATTTATTTATTAAATCTCTATCCCGCCGGAGCGGCTCAGGGCAGCTTGCACACAACTTTAAAACCAGCATAAAGATATACATGAAATACAATTCAATAAAATTCCAAATAAATACAGTTGAAACCATTTAGATGTGGCAGCATCGTGTAATAAAGTGCAAGGGCAGCACAGCCGATGAAATCATTCTTACTGACAGGGCTATTTTTGGGCAGGGACGCACAGGAACGGAGTTCCGGCTGGCTCCCGAGTTGGCCACGTCCAACAGGAACTCATTAGCATAATAGGCCACACCCAACAGCAGAAACTCATTAGGATTGGCTACATTAGGGATGTGTGGCCTAACATGCAAAGGAGTTCCTGCTCCAAAAAAAGGCCCTGGGTTTTGACAACAAACAAGGTAAACAGAATAAGAAGCAAAAGGTGGGTGTGGCTGGATGACCACACTTCTGGTAACATGGGGGTGCGGCCTAATGTGCTAATGAGCTGTGCTGTCAGGGGGTGTGGCCTAATATGCGAATGAGTTCCTGCTGTTAGGTGTGGCCTATTATGCTAATGAGTTCCTGCTGGGCTTTTTCTACAAAAAGAGCCCTGGAAACGCCCGGCAAAAAAGCTCCATTTTCACGGCCCTGCGGAATTGCTGGAGGTCCCGCAGTGCTCTGATCTAAATGCCGGCAGCTCACAAAGGAGAATTTTTGCTCACAAGACTCCACAGCTTAGAGGGAGCCCGGTGACCTGAGAACGGGCTTTTCTCCGTTGTGGTGCCAAAACTTTGGAACTCCTTCCTCAGGGAGGTTCATCGGTCAAACCACCTCTGAATGCCTCTTCCTTTGAAAACTGTTAAGTATGACACTTAACTCGGAGGAACAGTTCAACCAGCGATTTAGCTTTATTTCCGCTCAGGAACAGTGAGAACAGCATGAAAGGCTTAGACCTGCTAAGGACTAGACCAGCTAGACATTTCAGTAGGCAAAACGGCAACTTATATACAATTATGGCTGAGATAGCCACACCCCCAATATTTATAGTATCCAATCACACTGTGTACAATATAACCAATCACACTCAAGAGATAACGTCCAATCACATCACATTACAGCACCAATCAAAACCATTCCCTCCAGAAGGCATACCAATGGTCAGTATTCACAATCTGTATAATGAGCGATGTGAAATAGGCTTCACTTTATGTTTTCTCAAGACATAACAAAAACCCTACAGGTTGCACAAGTCGGCTGCCGCTCAACACCACTTTCAACTATACATGACATTATTCTAGTTTCACAGGACGAGAACTGGGTCTTGCATGAGAGCACCCACATGATCGGTGGCTCTGCTTATATAGAGAGGGGCGGTGGCTTGGCCAGGGCTATTTTTGGGCAGGAACACACAGGAACGGCGTTCCGGCTGGCTTCAGAGTTGGCCACGCCCACTACAGCCAAAACTACAGAGGGAAGGCCTGGAGAGCGACCCCTCCCTGGCGACTCCAAGGCGGGGGGACCTGGAAGGACCGGGGAGGCATTTAAATGCCTCCCCTGCCTGTCCAAGGGCCGGCTTGCCTGGATGCCCCACGGCCATGGGGCACCCGGGCAAGCCAAGGAAAGGCAGTTTAAACTGCCTTCCCTTCCCTCCAAGGGCAACCCAAGGGAAGGCATGGGGTGTGGCCTGATAGGCTAATGAGCTGTGCTGCCAGGGGTGTGGCCTAATATGCTAATGAGTTTCTGCTGTTGGGTGTGGCCTATTATGCTAATTAGTTCCTGCTGGGCTTTTTCTACAAAAAAAAAGCCCTGGGCTTGGCCAAGGCCACCTCCGGGGGTGCTCACGCCATCGTCTCCCCTACACCTTCTCCCCCCGACCCCCCCCCCTTAGATTACGCCAACAAGGTGCTTCTGTCGCTGTTCACCCTGGAGATGCTGCTGAAGATGTACAGCCTGGGCCTGCAGGCCTACTTCGTCAGCTTCTTCAACCGCTTCGACTGCTTCGTGGTGTGTGGCGGGATCCTGGAGACCGTCTTGGTCGAGTTCGAAATCATGCAGCCCCTCGGGATCTCCGTGCTCCGCTGCGTCCGCCTCCTGCGGATCTTCAAGGTTACCAGGTCTGGTAGGCGTTCGTGGGCTGGCTTTGGCCGGGGGCGGGAAAGCTCGAGAGTGTCGTCGGCCAGGGTTAAGCACCAGTCTCGTGGCACGGCGTGCTACGAGTGTCACGTCCGCGTGAAGGCTCCAGACAGTGATTGGAATTATTCTCGGTTTGCTCACTGGGTTTATACCCAGCTCTTCCTCCAAATTGCTAAGATGGCCAGGTCTTTTGAGGCTCAGGCCCCAAGACTCCGGGAATGCTGCTGTAATCCAGAGGTACTTGGTGATTTCGTAGCAAGTGGTCTCAAGCCTCCCCTTCTACCCGTTCTTCAGTGCAATGCATTCGCCTCCCAGTCGCTGCAGAAAGTGGGACACAGATACCGAAATGGATAGAGCAGGGGTCCCTAAACTTTTTTTTTAAATATAATTTTTATTGAGTATATATTTCACATTTCATAAAAAATAATTCATACCCTTATGTATTATACTCTCTTTCGTGTTTGAAGCAGAGAAACAAAAAATAAATAAATGGAGGTTACGTTCCATCTACGCAAGCGACAAACCAAACCCAGTCCCAATCCAGGTTGTAGCCAGTTTGGTGTGGTGGTGAAGTGCACGGACTCTAATCTGGGAGAACTGGGTTTGATTCCCCACTCCTCCACTTGCACCTGGCTGGATGACCTTGGGCAAGCCGTAGTTCTGTCAGAGCTGTCCTTGAAAGAGAGCAGTTTCTGTCAGAGCTCTCTCAGCCCCGCCGACCTCACAGGGTGTTTGTTGTGGGGAGGGGAAGGGAAAGGAGACTAAGCCGCTCTGAGACTCCTTTGGGTAGTGACGGGCGGGGCATAAATCCAATCTCTTCTTCTTCTTTTACCTCACCGGGTGTCTGTTGTGGGGAGGGGAAGGGGAAGGAGTTTGTGAGCCGCTCTGAGACTCCTTTGGGTAGTGAAGGGGGGGGTATAAAGCCAATCTCTTCTTCTTCTTCTTTTACCTCACAGGGTGTCTGTTGTGGGGAAGGGAAGGGAAAGGAGTTTGTGAGCCGCTCTGAGACTCCTTTGGGTAGTGAAGGGCAGGGTATAAATCCAATCTCTTCTTCTTCTTTTACCTCACAGGGTGTCTGTTGTGGGGAAGGGACACCTTTGGGTAGTGAAGGGCAGGGTATAAATCCAATCTCTTCTCTTCTCTTCTTCTTTTTCTTATTCCCTTATCCCACCCACTTATAAAAGGGGTCCCTAAACTTTTTGAGCCTGCAGGCACCTTTGAAATTCTGACATCGCATGATGGGCATTGCCACAAAATGGCCGCCACAAAAGGGCTGCTGCAGAAGGAGGTTGGCTTGGCGGCCCTAATTAGGGCCTAAAGATCTATCAGAATCACAACTGGTCTCCAGACTACAGTTCCCCTGGATAAAATGGCCGCTTTGCAGCGGGTCCATAGCTAGGTGGGGCTTTGGGGGGGCTCTGCCCCCTTTCTTAAAGGCACAGCCCCACAAGAATTTATCTTATAAATGCTTTTTTCAATCATTTTAAAACATTTTTAAAGGCCTGTGCTCCTTTAAGCAGAGTGGGCTGCTGTAGTTGACGAATCCCTGCACTGAGCAAGGGGGTTGGAGTAGGTGACCTCTAGGATCCCTTCTAAGTCTGGGTCAAGAAATGGGTCTCTGCCCAAGTGTTGGCTTTCTTGACTATAGAAGTCCTCACCCCCACCTTGCTCTCAGAACTGTTGCTTAGACTGGCGAAAGGGATTAACTTGCAGCAGCTGAGAACTGTCATCTAACGTGGTTGACAGTTTGCAATTTAGAGAACTATCCTGGCAATGGCTTTCTATTGGCTCAATGGATTTCTTTCTGCACTGAGAACTTCAGCCCCACTAGAGAACAATTTGCCCCACAAGCCACAAAATCCTGGCTACGGGCCTGCTTTGCAGGGTGGGCTCCATGGCATTACACCCCTGCTGAGGCCCTTCCTCTCCACAAACCCCACCCTCCCCAGGCCCCACCCCCACATCTCCTGTTGATTGGCAGCCCTACCACGAGACAATCTGCACTGTCTTCCTCAACCCATTGACCCATATCCAATTGACCCCCTCTAGGCACTGGGCCTCGCTGAGCAACCTGGTGGCCTCCTTGCTGAACTCCATGAAGTCCATCGCCTCTCTCCTTCTCTTGCTCTTCCTCTTCATCATCATCTTCTCCTTGCTGGGCATGCAGCTCTTTGGGGGCAAGTTCAACTTCGACGAGACCCAGACCAAGCGCAGCACTTTCGACACTTTCCCCCAGGCCCTGCTCACCGTCTTCCAGGTATGAGTGTGTTGAATACTGAATTCTGGATGCACTGCAGTGATCAGCTCTAGTTTATTTGGTGATTTCTGGCACACAGCAAGGACAAGCAGCAAGGCTTGAGCCCTGCTTATAAAGCATGCAGACATCACACCCAACACACACCCACTCCCAAGGATAGGCCATTTACATTACAACATTGGTCTACTCTAGGATCCTGGTGAGCTATTGTTCTAGAGTGGCAAGCTCAGCCAGTTCCAGGTACACCATGTGGAATGGCTTAGGCTCAATACATTACTGAGAGCAAGAGGGACGGGAGGAGAGCTGGTGGCAGTGGGGGCTGGGAGCAGTGTTCCCTCTAGCCAGTTTGGTGTGGTGGTTAGGAGCGCAGACTGTAACCTGGGAGAACCGGGTTTGAGTCCCCACTCCTCCCCATGCAGCTGCTGGGTGACCTTGGGTCAGTCACAAGTTCTCTCAGAGCTGTTCTCTCAGGAGCAGTCCTCAAAAGAGCTCTCTCAGCCCCGCCTGTCTCACAGGTGTCTGTTGTGGGGAGGGGAAAGGAGTTTGTAAACCGCTCTGAGACTCCGAGTGAAGGGCGGGGTATAAATCCAATCTCCTCCTCCTCCTCCTCCTCCTCCTCCTCCTCTTCTTCTTCTACATACCTTTGGGACCGCCTTTCCCGATATGTCCCCCAAAGGGTATTAAGACCAGCAGATAAGAATCTTCTGATATCCGGCTGGTCTCAACCAGGGCCAGGGCCGTTTCCGCCCTGGCCCCAGCCTGGTGGAACTCTCTGCCGAATGACATCCGTGCCCTGTCTGACCTACTCAGGGGTCATTTCCTGCAGGAGCGCACAGGAGCGGAGCTCCGGCAGTAAAGAGCCCAGGGGGCGGGCACATGCAACAAGCCCCGCCCCCTGCTCCCAGCAGCCCTCAGTCAGAGCAAGAAGCAGCCAGGTAAGTTGCAGAGCCCCCCTCCGGTCCAAAACAGTCCAGTGGCACCTTTAAGACCAGGTTTTATTCAGGTACAAGCTCTCCCTCCTCTGCGAGGGCAGATCTGCACCCCCCCCCCCAATAGCTAGCAATCCAAAACAGTCCAGTGGAGCCTGAGTGGTGGGTTTTGCCTTTTGACACACTTCCGGAGATGTCAGGGGGTGTGGCATATGCAAATGAGTTATGCTAATTAGTTATGCTAATGAGCTCCTGCACCTCTTTTTCTAATGACCCCTGGACCTACTAAAGTTTGGCGGGACATGTAAGGCAGAGATGTTTTGCCAGGCCTTTGGTTGAAGCCAGCGACAGTTCCTTAAATCTGCCTGGCACCCTTTCCTCCCTGCCCATGACTGAATCCTAGTGCTGCCATCTTGTTTTTAAAAATGTCTTTAAACGCTTAAATGCTTTGAATTTTTTAAATATTGAATGTTTATGGTTTTAAGTGATTTTGTGATTAATTATCTGTTGTAAATCGCCCTGAGCCCCGTACAAGCAGATAAAGGCGGTCAAGAAATCTAATAAAATAAAATAATGGCAGCAAGAATTTTATATGCTAAGTACTAGAAGAAAGCAGAAATACCAACAGAAATTGAACTTTTGACAACAAGTTTTGGCATAGCACAAATGGATATGTTGTCAAACCTACTGAAGGACAGAAGTCGTAAGAAACGTAAGAAATAGCTGGACACTATTTTATGCAGGGCTCTGTTTGTAGAAAAAGCCCAGCAGGAACTCATTATCATAATAGGCCACACCCAACAGCAGAAACTCATTAGCATATTAGGCCACACCCTGACAGCACAGCTCATTAGCACATTAGGACGCACCCCCACGTTACCAGAAGTGTGGTCATCCAGCCACACCCACCTTTTGCTTCTTATTCTGTTTACCTTTTTTGTTGTCAAAACCCAGGGCTTTTTTGTAGCAGGGACTCCTTTGCATGTTAGGCCACACACCCCTAATGTAGCCAATCCTAATGAGTTTCTGCAGTTGGGTGTGGCCTGTTATGCTAATGAGTTCCTGCTGGGCGTGGCCAACTTGGGAGCCAGCTGGAACTCCGTTCCTGTGCGTTCCTGCCCCAAAATAGCCCTGGTTGAGATAAAATTGAACTCCTTGGACTGAACTCTGCGGAAGAAGGGTTATGTACCGATCTGGTGGACAGCTTGCGGCAAAGACCTGTGAATGATCTTCGACGTGGTCTCTGTGCTTCACACCCATGGGATCTAGTGCCCACGCGCTGGATCGATCGGTGCTGTAGCAAGCTCTTTTAACGCATTTTCGCGCCCAGTCCCTCGGGCATGCGCAGGAACCCCACCGCCCTACAAAGATCTGTGAATGTTCCGGAATACTCAGGAGGAGGTGTGGCTGAAACACCCTAGAGTTCTCTCCACTGGAATGTCGTGAGCAGTTCCGCTCCAGGAGTGCTTGTGGAACAACCGCAGGTTTATTGTCCCCTTGCCCTTGCTGTAGATCCTAACCGGGGAAGACTGGAATGCGGTGATGTACGATGGCATCATGGCCTACGGCGGCCCTTATTTCCCCGGCATGCTGGTCTGCATCTACTTCATCATCCTCTTCATTTGCGGAAACTGTATCCTTTGACGGTTGGCTTGGCAGAAAGGCCTGTGTGCTGTCGTGCCAGGATGCCAGAACAATATGGACAATGTGGGTCCCGAAAATGTGTTTATGGATTCAAATATAGGTCAGTTCGTATTTATTATTAGACTGCTTTATGCTCTGCCTATATTTTGCATTTCTTAAATAATGCAAATGTCTAACCTAGCCCACTCTGTTGGGACTTCTGTTTTTCTATGCTTTTGTGGGCATTAATTTAAATGTGGAATTCACTGCCAGAGGATGGAGGATTCATGGAGGAGATGTCCAGTAGTGGCTATTAGCCATGGAAACCTCCATATTCAGAGGCAGTAAACCCTTTGAACCCAAGTGCCAGGAGGCAACATCAGGGGAAGACCTCAGCCTCTGTGCCCTGTTGCTGGCCCTCCAGAGGAACTGGTTGGCCGCTGTGTGAGGCAGGATGCTGGACTAGATGGACCCCCACTGGTCTGGTCCAGCAGGGCTCTTCTGATGCTCTTCTCAGGGGAAGGCCTCGGCCTCTCTGCCCTGTTGCTGGCCCTCCAGAGGAACTGGCTGGCCCCTGTGTGAGACGGGATGCTGGACTAGAGGGACCCTCACTGGTCTGACCCAGCAGGGCTCTTCTGACGTTCTTATCAGGGGAAGGCCTCGGCCTCTCTGCCCTGTTGCTGGCCCTCCAGAGGGACTGGCTGGCCCCTGTGTGAGATGGGAGGCTGGACTAGAGGGACCCTCACTGGTCTGACCCAGCAGGGCTCTTCTGGTGTCCTTATCAAGGGAAGGCCTCGGCCTCTCTGCCCTGTTGTTGTCTCTCCAGAGGAACTGGTTGGCCCCTGTGTGAGACGGGAGGCTGGACTAGAGGGACCCTCACTGGTCTGACCCAGCAGGGCTCTTCTGATGCTCTTCTCAAGGGAAGACCTCGGCCTCTCTGCCCTGTTGTTGGCCCTCCAGAGGAACTGGCTGGCCCCTGTGTGAGACGGGAGGCTGGACTAGAGGGACCCTCACTGGTCTGACCCAGCAGGGCTCTTCTGGTGTTCTGATCAGGGGAAGGCCTCTGCCTCTATGTCCTGTTGTTGGCCCTCCAGAGGAACTGGCTGGCCACTGCGTGAGACGGGAGGCTGGACTAGAGGGACCCCACTGGTCTGGTCCAGCAGGGCTCTTCTGATGTTCTTATCAGGGGAAGGCCTCGGCCTCTATGTCCTGTTGTTGGCGCTCCAGAGGAATTGGTTGGCCACTGTGTGAGACCGGATGCTGGACCAAATGGACCACTAGTCTGATCCTGCAGGGCTCTTCTGATGTTCTTCTGATGTTGTTAAATTCTTGGGTGGGGGTCACAATAACAATACACAAGCATCTCTTGCAGTCCGTATTGTGTGGCACACATGCACAAATACACTGTCTCTGTTACAGACAGATGTGACTGTAATTTTTGTGTTGGTGTCACCTAACTAAGGTTGGCACCTCTTTTCTCCCAACTCCTGCTCTGTCAGATTTCAGAAACAAGTAACAACACCCCAGATTCTGTCGGTTTCCCCTTCTGGTTACACATCCAAGTCCCTTTAATTGGAACTGCATGGACGTGTCCTTGGCCCGACGGCCACCACACTCACACTGTGGTTCCTTAGTTCTTCTTGTCTCCTCCTCGGTTCACACCATCCCTCCCAAGATGTTCCAACCAGCAGCCACCTACTAGTGGTACAGAGCACACAACTTCCAATTCAGTCTTGAGCCTTTTTGGCTTGTAAAGATAGCACACTCAAGCACACCTGTCCATGGTGAAAGAGCTGCTTAACAGTTGTATACCACATGGGGAGGGGCCAGGGCTCAGTGGCAGAGCCTCTGCTTGGCATGCAGAAGGCCCCAGGTTCAATCCCCGGCATCTCCCATTAAAAGGACCAGGCAGGAGGGGATGGGAAAGACCTTGACCTGAGACCCTGGCTCAGTGGCAGAGCCTCTGCTTGGCAGGCAGAAGGTCCCAGGTTCAATCCCCGGCATCTCCAGTTGAAAGGACCAGGCAGTAGGTGATGAGAAAGACCTTGATCTGAGACCCTGGCTCAGTGGCAGAGCCTCTGCTTGGCAGGCAGAAGGTCCCAGGTTCAATCCCCGGCATCTCCAGTTGAAAGGACCAGGCAGGAGGTGATGGGAAAGACCTGGGCCTGAGACCCTGGCTCAGTGGCAGAGCCTCTGCTTGGCAGGCAGAAGGTCCCAGGTTCAATCCCCGGCATCTCCAGTTAAAAGGACCAGGCAGGAGGGGATGAGAAAGACCTTGACCTGAGACCCTGGCTCAGTGGCAGAGCCTCTGCTTGGCGTGCAGAAGGTCCCAGGTCCAATCCCCAGCATCCCCAGTTAAAAGGACCAGGCAGGAGGTGATGGGAAAGACCTTGACCTGAGACCCTGTCTCAGTGGCAGAGCCTCTGCTTGGCCTGCAGAAGGTCCCAGGTTCAGTCCCCGGCATCTCCCATTAAAAGGACCAGGCAGGAGGTGATGAGAAAGACCTTGACCTGAGACCCTGGCTCAGTGGCAGAGCCTCTGTTTGGCATGCAGGAGGTCCCAGGTTCAATCCCCGGCATCTCCAGTTAAAAAAGGACCAGGTAGGAGGTGATGAGACCTTGACCTGAGACCCTGGCTCAGTGGCAGAGCCTCTACTTGGCATGCAGAAGGCCCCAGGTTCAATCCCCGGCACCTCCAGTTCAGAGGACCTGGCAGGAGGTGATGAGAAAGACCTTGACCTGAGACCCTGGCTCAGTGGGAGAACCTTGGCATGCAGAAGGTCCCAGGTTCAACCCCCGGCATCTCCAGTTAAAAGGACCAGCCAGTAGGTGATGTTAAAGTCCTCCGTCTGAGACTCAGGAGAGCTGCTGCCATTCTGAGTAGACAGTACTGACCCTGATGGACCAATGACTTATTCAGTATAAGGCAGCTTCATGTGCTACTTCCATGGTATTGCTTGGAAAATGGACTCCAAGCAGAGCAGGCGTTCTGCACGCCCACGAGCAATATCACTTTTGGTTCTGTATTAGGGAAGGGTGGTCTCTTTCAATGTAAAAAATGACCTTTTCTTGAGCTCTCACTCCCAGATATCCTCCTCAATGTCTTCTTGGCCATCGCTGTGGACAACCTTGCAGACGGGGACAATATAAATACCTCAAAAAAGAAGAAGTAAGAGCTGCCCCTAATCGGTGAAGTGAGACGGGGGGGCGTAATGGATTGTGGGTTGGCTTGGAGGAGAAAGGGAACCAAGACACCCCCGGGGCTCTTCTCCAGTGGAGGAAGACGTTGAGATCTTGGAGAAGATGAGCATTTGGACTCCCGAAACCGATCTGTAGCTTTTTAGAGGCAAGTGGGAGGATGGTATCTACTGGCTCGGTCTAATACCAGAGCATTGTAGTCTTGAAGAGGGGGTTCAAGGGATTCTTGTGGACGTCTGCAACACCACCGCGTCCCCAAACCAGTGAAGGACACAGGACTGCAGTTCAGATTGAAACATTAATTGGTTTAGCCAGGGCTCTTTTTGTAGAAAAAGCCCAGCAGGAACTCATTAGCATAATAGGCTACACCCAACAGCAGGAACTCATTAGCATATTAGGCCATACCCCTGACAGCACAGCTGATTAGCACTTTAGGCCACACCCCCATGTTACCAGAAGTGTGGTCATCCAGCCACACCCACCTTTTGCTTCTTATTCTGTTTACCTTGTCTGTTGTCAAAAGCCAGGGCTTTTTTGTAGCAGGGAGTCCTTTGCATGTTAGGCCACACACCCCTAATGTAGCCAATCCTAATGAGTTTCTGCTGTTGGGTGTGGCCTATTATGTTAATGAGTTCCTGCTGGGCGTGGCCAACTTGGGAGCCAGCCGGAACTCTGTTCCTGTGGATTCCTGCACAAAAATAGCCCTGGTTTAGCCTGTGACAAGCGTGGCCATAATCTCCGAAGGCATCACGCGAACTATGAACAGCTCATCGAGGCCTGACTATGGGCCTAGCTGCACGGTCCGTTTCCCTCGCGTCCTCTCCGCAGGTCCTCACGATCAGGTGTACGTTGAGGATTCCGTGCTAAGAACTTAATTCCCAGACAAGGACGTGATAGGCCCGGTCTGGATCAGGACCACAGTGTGTGTGTGGGGGGGGGGGTGAGGAGCTTTAGCCTTCGCTTTGCGTTATTCTCCTGATCTGAAAAACAGACCCGAGGGGCGCTGGTTGTCTAATTGGGGAAGCTTAGTGTTGCCAATCTCCAGGTGAGGGCTGGACAGCTCCTGGAATCACAACTGATCTCCACACTATATAAAATGCTTAGTGGATGAAATTTAGCTGTTTTGGAATTGGGAGGCAACAGACCCCCACCCCCACCGCCCAATGGTGAAAGGGCTCTTTAAAGGGCTCTTTAGCTTGGAGAAACGACGACTGAGGGGTGACACGATCGGGGTTTATAAGATTATGCATGGGAAAGAGCAGGTAGGGTAAAGAGGTACTTTTCTCCCTTTCTCACAAGACAAGAACTCGTGGGCACTTCATGAAATTGCTGAGCGGTCGGGTTAGAATGGATAAAAGGAAGTCCTTCTTCACCCAAAGAGTGATTAACACTTGGAATTCACTGCCACAGGAAGTGGTGGCGGCTACAAGCATGGACGGCTTCAAGAGGGAATTAGATAAGCATATGGAGCAGAGGTCCATCAGTGGCTATTAGCCAAAAGGTATAGCTAGGGACTCTGGGGCAAGGGATGCTCTGTCATCTTGGTGCTTGGGGGGGGTCAACAGTGGGAGGGCTTCTAGTGTCCTGGCCCCACTGATGGACCTCCTGATGGCACCTGGTATTTCTGGCCACTGTGTGGCACAGAGTGTTGGACTGGATGGGCCATTGGCCTGATCCAACATTGGCGTCTCTTATGTTCTTACGTTCTTAATGTTCATGGATTTCACTGTTTGCGGTGATCTGCGGAATGGATCCCCCATGAATGGCAAGGGTCTACTATAAGTCTGATGTGCCCACTGCCCTTCTGTCTCTCTGTATAGTTCCCACACCCTTTTCCCTGATCTTATGTTGGATTCAGACTGAGACACCTGAGAAGCTCCCCAGGATTGCTAACGTCCAGGTAGGCCTAGAGATCTCCCAGAGTTACCACTGATCTCCAAACAACAGAGATCAGTTCCTCTGGACAAAATGGCTGCTTTGGAGGGTGGAGTCTATGGAATTATACCCCACTGAGGCCCCTCCCCTCCCAGGCTCCACCCCCAAATTCCCAGGAATTTTCCAACCCAGAGTTGGCAGGAAGAAGAAGGAGGAGGAGATTGGATTTATACCCCGCCCTTCACTCGGAGTCTCAGAGTGGCTTACAAACTCCTTTCCCTTCCCCGCCCCACCACAGACACCCTGTGAGGGTAGGTGGGGCTGAGAGAGCTCTGACAGAAACTGCTCTTTTTCAAGGACCCTCTGACAGAACTACGGCTTGCCCAAGGTCATCCAGCAGCTGCAAGTGGAGAAGTGGGGAATCAGACCCGGTTCTCCCAGATTAGAGTCCGTGCACTTAACCACGACACCAAGCTGCCTCTTGCACCCCCAAAGCAGCCATTTTCTCCAGGGGAACTGATCTCTCTTGTCTGGAGACCAATCGCAATAGCAGGAGATCTCCAGGCCCCACCAGGAGGTTGGCAAGCATACCCCCACCCTTCGTTCCATCTAAGGGACTGTGTTTTCTTTGAATTGTGCTGGTTGCTGCCTGGCTGCTATTCCTTCGTACTTTGTCAGTGCCCAGGTTGAAATGTGTTTCACGTCGTGGTACATCTCCCGCCAGGTGCAGCCTTATCGTGACCTCCTGGCATTCCCCGGATCCGCTCTGTATCATAAACATCTCAGCGGTGCCCTTCCTGACCAGGCCATTCATCCTGAAACGTTTCCGCTTGCTCAGGGGTTGACCCCTGCTTGCTTTTATCCTGTATCGTTTTGCAAATCTTTTGGGCTTTGCTTTTTGGTGACAAAATGGTTCCACTCTGGTCAAGGTTTGAGAGTCCTGGACAGGCCCGAAGCACATGTCTTTGATCTGTCATCATGCACGGCAGGGGTCATTTCATAGAAAAAGAGGTGAAGGAGCTCATTAGCATAGCTATTAGAATAACTCATTAGCATAACTTATTTGCATATGCCACACATACCCCTGACATCACCGGAAGTGTGTCAGAAGGCAACACCCACCGCTCAGGCTCCACTAGACTGTTTTGGATTGCTAGCTTTTTTGGGGGGGGAACGTGTCCTCGCAGAGGAGGGAGAGCTTGTACCTGAATAAAACTTGGTCTTAAAGGTGCCACTGGACTGTTTTGGGCCGGGGTGGGGGCTCTGCAACTTACCTGGCTGCTTCTTGCTCTGACTGAGGGCTGCTGGGAGCAGGGGGTGGGCCTTGTTGCATGTGCACGCCCCCTGGGCTCTTTACTGCCGGAGCTCTGCTCCTGTGCGCTCCTGCAGGAAATGATCCCTGATGCACAGTCACAGAGGATCTGTGTAAAGACAGCCATTAGGCACAAGAGGTGGAATCTTTCTGAAAATCAGATGCTAGAAACAAAGAGGGATGGGGGGGAACACCTTTATGCCTTGCTTATGTACTTTCCAGTCATGATACCAAAACTATGGAACTCCTTCTCCAGGGACATTTATTTGTCCACTTCTATCCCTGGGCATTCCCACATGTGTTATTCCGTTGCTCGTTCTGCCCATATTGCGTTGTTGTTGTTTTTCTTTCCCACATGTGTTTTGCGCCTTCTCGTGGTCGCTTCGACGCTTCATTGCCGTCGTTTATTCCCAAGCATTTTAAAAGTACACAGAAATAAGGCGGAGATACGGAAGTGAAATATCAAAGTGACCAGTAGAGGGAGCAAAATGCATGCGAAAAAGGAAAATAAAATCGATGCCCTACGGGCAGAGAAGGGACTAAAGAGGCGCAAACAGCCCACTGTCTTCCTCCAGAGGGTGAAGCCTTTACCGTTTAGCCTGGTATTCCCTCAGTGACTCCTTTCTTTCTGCCCTGTGCTTTATCTGCGGGTTCTGTTGTTTTCATAGATGTATTTTACTTCTGATTTTTAATGTGCTTTAATGTTCCGTGGACTCGCCTTGGTGGCCCTGACGGAGCAAAAAGGCAGGGTTTAATTTTTTAAAATAAATCATTCGGGGAAGGGGGCACAGTTGGAAACAGGCCGCTAAAGTAAATGGTCTACCTATTGATAGTGTGGTTCAGTGGTTATAGTGTTTGTCGCGCTAGGGTTGACAGTTCTAGGTTGGGATATTCACCGGGATTAGGGAGTGGAGTCTGGGGGTGGGATTTGGGGAGGGGAGGGTCCTCAGTGGGGTATAGTGCCGTAGATTTTACACCCTCCCCCCTCCCAGCAACCCTTTTCTCCAGGGGAACGGACCTCTAATGTTCCGTCTCAGCTGTGGAATCTTGTAAGAAAAAATCCTACTTTGTGAGCAACTGGCATTAAAGTTGTGAGTGAGCGATTTGGCTACAGCACAAATTAGTCTGCTCTGGAGCAGGGGTCATTTCCTGCAGGAGCGCACAGGAGCAGAGCTCCAGCAGTAAAGAGCCCAGGGGGCGGGCACATGCAACAAGCCCCACCCCCTGCTCCCAGCAGCCCTCAGTCAGAGCAAGAAGCAGCCAGGTAAGTTGCAGAGCCCCCTGGCCCAAGATAGTCCAGTGGCTCCTTTAAGACCAAGTTTTATTCAGGTACGAGCTCTCCCTCCTCTGTGAGGACAGATCTGCACGTTCCCCCCCCCCAATAGCTAGCAATCCAAAAGAGTCCAGTGGAGCCTGAGTGGGTGGTTGTTGCCTTCTGACACACTTCCGGTGATGTCAGGGGGTGTGGCATATGCAAATGAGTTGTGCTAATGAGCTCCTGCACCTCTTTTTCTACGAAATGACCCCTGCTCTGGAGCCATCCTTCCTGAGTGAAGACAAAAATCTGTGAGCTGTAGACTAAGAAAATGTGAGCTAGCTCACACTCACTCAGAGGGAACACTGGTGTGGAGGTCAGTTCTAATTCCAGCCCCGCCTGGAGATTGGCAACCTAAGGTGCAGCTCAGTCCTGGATTCAGCGAGTGACATTCAACAAGACATTCTCTCTCTCCATCTCGGTTTCTCATCCATGCAGTGGATTTGAGGACGAGTGAGGTAAGGGTGGT